TAGCTGAGCATACAGGCACATGCCATCATGCCTGGATAATTTTTTTTCATTTTATTTTCTGTAGAGATGAGATCTTACCACATTGCCCAGGCTGGTCTCAAACTCCTGAGCTCAAGTCAAAATCCTGCCTCGGCCTCCCATAATGCTAGTGGACCACCGCACCCAGTTACATAACCAAAATATTTTAAACGTTTTTCAAATGTCTGTCTTTAGTCCTGTAAGAGTTTGTAATCCCCAACATAGAAGATCTTATGGCACTTCAAAGAGAAATGTCTTGTAGAAATCTACACTCAAAGTGAGAACTAAGCAAATACAACTCTGAGAAAATCTCAACAATTTGCACCCGATGCCTCACACAAGTGGAGGCCTCAAAGACACTGATTTTATATAATTAGAGCTTCAGGGCTGATGAGCCATCAGGATTCACACATGGGATGTCCAAAAGGTGGAGCGAATGCAAAGCTCTTCACTCTTGACATTTTAGATGGCTAAATTGCCTTTCTCAGTACCTAAGGAATTTTGAAACCCTGTAATTTTGTCTCCCTTGCAAACCTACAATTTTTCATTTGTTTTTATTTACTTGGTAACCCCAGGAAAAGGAGCCTCTGGCACTGAGCCTTCCCTCCTTCAGACACCACCAGGTTGCCTTATAAAACCTCCATCTCCCCTGGGTCTTAGTCTCACAACATTTGCATAACAACATAAAATGCAATATGCTCAACTTGAGAGTTAATTCAGTGTTTTCCCATTCACCTTATAACTTTAATCTTCTCGTTTACCATTTTTTTTTTCCTGACTTCACCATTTCTGAGTCCTTATACTCTGTTACCTGGACCTAAAAGAACTACCTTCTCATTATCTAAAGAGAGCCTTATATCCTTAGAGCCCAATCATTCATTCATTCCCTATGCACTGTGTATTTATTATGCATCATGTGCTAAGACTATGAAAGTGTCTTAGACAGTCACAGTCTTTGAAATTTCAGTCTAGAGGAGATAAAAAGATATATAATCCCTTAATTATAATCCATTGTGACAAGATCTACAGAGAAGCAAAGAGTGTGTGTCATGAGACCTTGGATAAAAGGGTAATTAAGTCTGACCCCAGGAGGATGAGAAAAGGCTTCATAGCTGATTCCCGAAGGTGACCAAGTGACTTCACTGTTTCTTCACTATCGTCTGCTTATCCCTCTTCCAGTCGGCTGTAATCAGTGGTTCATTTTTTCTGTCTCCCTCCGATGAACACCAAATGTTGTGTTTTGCATCTTTTCACCCCCAAAATCTTTCACACTGTCAGATATTAATTACACATTGATATCAATTAATTAGCTTATCTACTCAACAAATCTGCTGAGCATCTCCAAGTGCCAGGCACTCTCCTGGGCGTCATAAATAGAAGAGTTATGAAAATAGGCCAAGTCTTGTCTCTCATGGAGCTGACATTCTAGGGCATCTTAAACAGTCTCATGAACTATGATCTGTCTGGTGGCAATTGTGCTGCAAAAGGCAGGAAAGAGAAATAGATAAAAGGGTGGAAATGGAACTGCTTATGAGGTGTTGGAGGTGTGTTACTCTCCTTGCCGGGACGGCCAGGAGAGACTGTTCTGTTGGGTAATTTTTGAGCGGATACCCAAAGCAAGAGAGCAGTGAGCCATGTGGATCAGGGAGGCATGTGCTGGGTGGAAAAACTATAACGGGAACATGGAGCAGGACCTTGGTGTCCCACATTCTGCGAACAGAGTGACCAGTGTGGGCGGAGCAGAGAGAGAGGAGGAAAGTAACTGGAGATGAGGTCATCATGACTGTGGGCTGGGACATGGGGATAAATCATGCTATGGCCACACGCAGGACTTTGAAGTTTACTTGAGTGAGAAGGAAAGTTGTTGGGTGTTTTGGATACAGGAGAGACACGGTCTGAGTGTGTGTGGGAAATCATGTAGGGTGGGCAAGGATGGGACCTGGGAGACGAGTGAGGAAGGTGTATCCGGAAAAGAAAGAGAGAGAGAGTGGTTTAAAACAGGGGGGCAGCAGTCTAGGTCATGAGAAATGGTGGCTTTCTGGCTTTATTTCAAAAACCAAGAGAACAACTGTTGGTTTGCTGATTGGGAGGATAGAGATGTCTGGGGGGGGCGTGTGCGGCAAAAAATCTTGGAATTTATTTATTAAAAAATCCTGCATTTATTCTTACATGTTTTACATATTAAAACTTCAGTCACCTTCCAAGTACTCTCCCTTTGATGCGATACATCTATGGAGATATTTTTGCCACTGCTCAAAACAATTTTTGAACATGTCATTTTTAACAACTTTTAGTGCTTCTGTTGTTTTTTGTTTCACCTCTTCTATATCAGCAAAACATTTTCCTTTGAGGACTTTTTTTATTCAGAAACAAACAAACAAACAAAAAACATTGCTCGGGGCGAGATCAGGTAAATAGGGAAGGTAAGGCATGGAGAGCATACCACTTTTGGTCAAAAACTGCTGAACACTCAGAGTGGTGTGGGCAGGTGCACTCGTAAATCACCCGTCATGAAATGTACAAATACTCTGAAAGAATCTCCATAGTTTCTGGACATCGCAGCAACTTGGATGGATCTGGAGACTATCATACTCAGTGATCAATCACAGAAACAAAAAACTGAGTAGCACATGTTCTCACTCATAAGTGGACCCTGAATACCTATCATAAAAAGGAATTGGCAGTAGCCGGGCTCGGTGGCTCAGTCTGTAATCCTGCGCCTTTGGGAGGCTAAGGTGAGTGGATTGCTTGAGCCCGCGGGTTTGAGACCTGCCTGGGCAGTAAGACCTCATCTCTACAATAAATCAAAAACTCAGCCGGGCGCGGTAGCGTGCGCCTGTAATTCCGGCTACTCGGAAGGCTGAGGCGGAAGGATCGCCGGAGCCCAGCAGGTCGAGGCTGCGGTGGTCGGGAGCAGCCACTGCACTCCAGTCTGGGCGACAGAGTGAGACTCCAACTCAAGAAAAGAAAAAAAAAAGGGATTGGCAGTAGCAGGACACTGCCAGGCAGAGGGGTGGGATGGGTGGGTGGTGGTACATAACATCAGTATTGGTGCCTGATCTTAATCCAGGCGAAGCGAAGGTCAATGGGAGGCCTAAACTTCACCTGTACCTAAACTACTTATATACCCAGTACTGACTCGTACCCCACATCTTTAAAAAATTTTTTTTAAATTATCTAATGATTAAAAAAGAAAGAATCCTCTAAAAAATTCACTAAGGCAAACTGCCTCTCACAACAATGCTAACGGGTACACTGATGCCTGAGACACTTACCCTAAGGAGGAAGTTTTAGGTGTCTGCCCTCCAAAAGAAAATTCTGGTTTTCTATGCCTCCCCATATATGCTCATTAAAAGTCATATATGTGTGCATATGTGTGTATATACGTGCATATATGTTTATATAAGTATATATGCATGTATATATAGTATATATATTCATACACGCGTGCATGCGCGCGTGCGCGCACACACACACACACACACACACACACACACACACACACACACACACACACACACACTCACCATATCTCCTACCTTCCCTTCTCTCCCTTTCCCTTTTCTCCACCTTCTTCTCCTTTCTCTCTCTCTCTCTCACATAAATATACAGAAAGGCTTTCCTAGGTTTATAAACCATGACTTGACCTGGTTTGTTTCTGGAAAAGGTCTGTCTTCTACTGGCGGATGCAAACATATCCATAAGTGGACCTCCTGAAAAACAGACTTATGATATCGGTCAGGAAGGGATATTTATGTACAGAAGACTGTTGGTAGGATGTCCCCAATCTAGGATTGCTTATAATTACACCTAGGATCTAGGGGCGATTGAGGCATGGTTCCTTGAAAATATCATGTAAGCCATGTAATGATCTGGGTAAAATGGAGACAGTTCACAATCAAAACACTTCAGAGAAAGAAAAGCTTATCTGCAAATCTCTCTTTGTATCTATTTCCAAAGCTGGGGAGAAATCATCTACATTCTTCTGCAAACTGCCTCCTAGCACATTATTTTAAGTTATTTTCTGTTCTGCTGACTGACTATACAATGTGATTATTTGCATTCTAGATCTCATGAGCTATTCATAAACACATATTTATCTTTTATGCAGTTTTTCTCCACCTGGTTATAAATTAGAATCACCTGAGAAGCCCTGAAAAATGCTAACGATAAAACTACTTTCCAGAAAAATGAAGTCAGTATCACTGGGCATGTGAGAAGTTAGGTATTTTTAGAATTCCCACGTAATGCCAAGGTACAAACACTGTTGAAAATCTATGTGATGCTAAGGAATCTCTGGTTGATTGAAGACACACTCCCTTCTGCCATAGTTTGCTATAATGTGAAGAAATACAGCATTGTTATTTGTCATGATAGACAATCCTAAATTACATTGATGTTAATTTTTATATTTTTCAAAATTAAGTTCTTTAAATTAGTTCTAAAGAACATGAGATCTAATAATTTTTAATTTTTATTTATCCCTAAATGAATCAGCAAACATTTCTTACACATGATCTTAACAATGTATATTTGTTGATTCACTTACTCATTCCCTGCTTTGTTTCTGGTGAAATAAAAGATAGGTTTTAATTCACTTTTATATGATCCAGGCCACCAGCAAAGTACAGTAAAATTACATTAGAACAATAAGGACAACTTGTAAAAGTAAAAGAAAGGGTGATTGCCTAATACTTGTAATTTATACAAAACCATTTTACTTATTGCTAAATCCTATTAATTTTTCAAAAGTGTCTTCTTTAGGGCAGTGATTTCAACTCCATTAATTAAAGATTGTTACGAACTTCAATGCGGTCATTAATAATTTTCCAGCTCATTATCCAAGCCTGTTAATTAGAAACACGTTGTTATCCTGATCTTCGTGTGTGAGATGTACATTTTGTTCTTGAGTTTCGAGCCTTTAATTTTTTCTCTGTCTCATGGTGTCACCACCCAATTGCATTGACTATCACAGTCCTTACCAGATGGAGTAAGGATCCTCCGGAGGAAACCAGGGTGTGTGGGTCTGCCCCCTCCTTCAGGAGTTGAAGCACTGAAAAAAAAATGAGAGAAGAACAGAGTTAGAGCAAGTCTTTCTTCCACATCCTGAACCCAAAGTTGTAGTCTTTCATTAATATCCAAAATACAAACGGCTAAGACAGCCAAAGAATGAATCACTCTCTGACATGATATGTATTTATGATGGATAGCATTTTCCTTCCCATTCACGCTTATTCCTTGGTTTGGCAACATAAATATCTATTACAAGTCATGCAAGTTCATGAGAAAGTGGAAGATATTGTTTTTACAGTTTATTGTTTCAAAGTGTCTAGTTTATGAATCCTTTGTAGAATTTTTTTTTAAAAAGCAAAAAGAAAGAAACTACCTCACTAGGCTCATGTCAGCATTAGGTCACTAATTTTTTTTAATTCATTAAGACCCGTTGGCCTAAAATAATCAAAGTTTATTTTTGCACATTAACCTTCCATTGGTGCCACTAGCCCTTGGCAATATTTCTACCATTCTCACAAAGCACTGTGAGATGAAGCCACATCTACCCAAATTAGTCATGTCGAGTAGATCCAACTCTATACCAATTATCAGAATGAATTCACAGTTGAAAGGTGACCTATGTCTCCACTGGATCAGCAAAGACAAATTCATTAGTACACGGAATGTCACAGAGCATTGAGAGGTTGTGTTACAGCCTCTGCTACATAAAATGGAGCTGTAAGACACGCCCCACCAAAGGCTCTTCAATTCCGGAGGCACTATGCTAGTCTCCACTGTTAACAGCAGTAGTATTGTAGTTTTAACAAAATGCCCTTAATACACTTTCCTCAAAAAATATAATTAAAGCAACAGTCACTTTTTAAATTTCACTTATAGAAAGGAATTGCACACAATGGTTCAGGTTCAAACTCATGTCTCAGTGACGCATTTTGTCTTTTTACTGACTTTCTCTGTAACTTGAAATGTTGCCTGAGGGTTCCTTCTTTTCTAAGGCACCCCAGTTCTTTTATATGTTGCCAACGTCTAGTCTCTTACTCAACTCTAACTGAATTATCATGGGACACATCGTGTGTCCCAGCAGACACAGCTACTATTGTGGATTTCCTCCTTAGAAGGGTGATACTCTTCCAGGGTGGGTGCGGTGGGTGTGTTGAGAGAGATAGGTCCCCATCCTGTGAAACACATCAGCCCTCCCAGCCCAGTGTACCCTCCACACAGCCTTCCCTGACACGAGAGCAACCTATATCCACATCCAGAAAGAATTTCCTAAATAGAAGCATGCCTTATCTATTCATTTACCAAGTATTTTGGTAATGCCGTATCTATTCATTTACTTTGATGACTTTCTTTCTTTAAGCAAGAGTTTAATTCTTTTCATAACCTAGAATCTGCTTGTGTTCAGTAGTTTGTTACAAAAACATGCTCAGGATGACAAACTCGTAACCTGACAACACGTGCCATATTCATTTGCTTACTAGGTTATCTTCTGTTTCTGTTATTATTATTGCTTTTTATTATAAAGATATGGGGTACAATTCAGGGTTAGGTATACAAAGGTTGATTATGCGGGTACTCTTGTTGAGGAGGTATGCCCCACCCTCCCCTGGCAGTTCCCTCAACTGCCAATCCCACTCCCCTCCCCGACAGTTTCCCACTACTGCCAGTCACTTTCTTATAGTATTATAATTGTTCAAGGTCCGCTTATGAGTGAGAACACATGGTACTCTGTTCTTTGTTTCTATGATAGATCACTGAATCTACTCAAATTGTTGCAAAGTCCACGTTTGTCTTTCTTTATGGCTGCATAATCTTCCAAACCAGCTGTCTCTGTTAAGAGAAAAGTCTAGGAAGCGAGGCTGTTGTCTGTCTTGTTCTCTGCATTTCTAAGGACCATCCTGCTGCATGGTATAAAGACTCTCTCTCTCTCTCTCTCTCTCTCTCTCTCTCTCTCTCTCTCTCTCTCTTTCTCCATATGGAGGGAGAGAGACTTCTTCCTCTCTTGTGAACTTATTACACTTCATGTTTTAAATCCCATTCACAATAAAAGAAAGTTCATTACATATGTTTGCCAGTGGTTTCCACAGAAGACAAATAGCACTCTTACCCTAATATTTATTCTTTTATCAAATGAAATTAGTCATCATGAATTAACAAATATTTCTTGATAGTCTGTAAAGCTCTGGGTCAATCATGATCTTACTGCAAATATAAGGTGAGGTAGACTGTATTAAGCCAAAATATTAGTAAAATGCTGTCAGATTTTTTATGCAGACTCTACTATGCAGACACAGAGTGAATTATACGTGATAGGAATTGGTGAGCCATATAGTTTGGTTCTGGAGTGAGACAGACTTTGGTATTAGGCCTGGCCCCATGAGGAAAGCTAATGAACTTTATGCCCCAGTTTTCTGTCAGTAAACAATGAACACTGGACTCACTGCACGGGAGTATTGTGAGATTTACTGAGACAACTCTGTAGCAGGCTTATCATGCCTCAGGCACTTGGTAAGTATCACTGAATGATTTATAATTGCTACGAGTGATAAAACCCCATAGTAATATGTCATAGAACCCATACGTTAAAGTTTATTTTAAGTTTTCTCAAAACCTTCTGATTGCTAAATGCTGAATTTAAATGTAAAACATAAGAAATGCAAATTTAGCAATATTAACCAGGAGGGTGAGTGTGTAATTTAACAAATGGGAAAAATGAGACAAAGGAAAAAAATATATAAGACAAAGAAGGATGCTAAGTATGGAGATGGTGAATATGAATTACCTTTGTTTTTCATACAAACTATTGCATTGTAAGTTTATATCAGTTTTCTTATTGTATTTATTTTATGTTTTTGAGTCAGGATCTCGCTCTGTTGCCCAGTCTGTTGCCCACTCTGTTGCCCAGTCTGGATCGTGAGTGGCACGATCACGGCACACCACAGCCTCGACCTCCTGGGCTCAGGAGATTTTTCTGCCTAAGCCTCCCCAGTAACTGGGACTACAAGCATGAACCACCACACCTGGCTAATTTTTTTCTTTCTTTCTTCTTTCTTTCTTTCTTATTCATTTATGTCTTATTTATCATTTATTTATATATGATAGAGACAAGTGCTCGCTGTGTTGCCCAGGCTGATCATGAACACCTGGGCTCAAGCAAACCTCCCACCTCCATTTCTGAGTGCTGGGATTAGAGGTATGAGCTACCGCACCTGGCCTATATCATTATTTTTTAATATAGCTGTTTTTTTTTAAACTGTTTCACGATCAAGTCACACAATCCCTGAAATAACAGTTGGCTCTCACAAGCTGACAAGGGTGAGGTCCAGCATCCAAAGCGAGCAACCAGGAGGTGCATAAGGAATATTGCCCAAGAATGCCCAGGGATGAGAAGGTTCTTCTGGTCACCATGAAACAGGTAAGTTGGTCACATCCCTTCTATTATCCCCAGACATCATCCCAGGGAGAAAAGGGGTGCAAGCAATCTGAGCATTGAGTATTTCCTAACCAGAAGAACTATTTCCTGAGAGGGTAGTTTACATGACCAGATTAAACTATGTTAAAACAGCTGTCTGGATATTAACTGGTTTGGCCTCATTACCACTCAAGAATATGACACGATTGACTACCAGTGAAACAGAGAAATAGCATGTTCTTTGCACATACAAAGGATACTGTCAGCCAAACTCTCACATTGAAGCAATGACTCTACTAAGGGCTTAAACCTGGACATTGTAAGCTGTCTGAATACTCATATATAATAAAGAAAATGGCCCTTGCATAATCAGTTGAAGACAGAGAAATCTGAAAAGTGGGGGTACATCTTTATAAAACTAACACATGTTGAGAACTTTTGGTCTAAGACGTCTAAGTACGCTACGTGCAAGAATCACTTTAGTTCACTCTACACCTTTATGATACAGATGCAATATCTGTCACTGTTTTCCTGATAAGGAAACGGAGACTCTGATAGATTTAGTGGTTCCCCGAGGCCATAGGTGGCAGGAGTACATACTGAACTCAAGAGCAGCTGCAAGACTCCAAGTTTTGTGCACTCACCCCAAAATGGCATCAGGGTGGTAAAATTTCAAAGTCACCACAGACATCAAGTTCCATTTTAGTAGCCTCAAAATCACTAATTTTGTAGGAAATTGCCCAAATTTAGATTAAAATACTTTCTTTAAAAAGGTATGGATTCATACCCACCTCGTAAAACCAGGATTCAAATTGCCCATCAAGAGAAAGGCACCACTACTCTGAGTCTCTCTGTTACGACCCAATCTGCAAGGAAAAAGCCTAAGGAAAAACAGCCATCTGGGGACCGAGTAGAATAATGAAATGTGGGCTTCCTTTTATAGTGCTGCTGCTTGGAACGGATTCAGCATTTATTGTATATTTGTGGCTTCTTCATCAAGCTGCAACAGAACTCCATCGAGATGTCTGTGTGGGAGCATGATCGGATGTTTAAAAAGAAACATTCAGTCTCTAAATCTTCAGTTATTGGGGGTAGAGGAATGGACTAAAATGCATCATAAAATTTTGCTGAGAGGCTTTAATAGATCGTGGGGCTGGTTCCCGCCACCAGCAACAATAACCAAATACAACCGCCCACTTGGTGGTCAGTGTTTATTTTGCGTTTCTGGATACAGTATTACCACAGAGTATCTGGAAGTTTTTTGGAGATCACATCAGCTGGTGTGGATATTTTACTGCAGAAAATCTGTACACTGCTGTCAAGTAGTCTCCACGACAGTGGCTCTTGTATTCACAATGGTGTTACATTGTGACCAGAAAGGAAAAGTAAAAGAAAACATCACTGGGTTCTAAATTTTGTCCCAGTTATAAACCCTGCAAAAGCCATTTTCCACAGAGAGGGAAGGACAAATCATAAAATGGCTGGAGGGTATACGGAAGTTCATTATTTCTAAATTTAAAAGTTACAATGAATAGCAACAAAATGTCAAGCCAGTGTCATTTTCACCCCTCTTGGAATGATAATGGAAACATCAGTGGGAAGACTTCTGAGTGTATGTGTGAGAATTTCCATACAGTTGATAGTGCTTTCAGAACTCCTTTACAAATTTTATCTTATCTCATTAATGTGTCAATCAAGAAGAGAAGCAGAGAGCAGGAATATAGAAATTATGTTATCAACACCACAGCAATGTCCATTTGCACAGCAATGCTGCTGAAATACAGATTTTTTTCCTCAGCAGAGCTCTCATTTTAGGACTATAAGAATAACTTGAGGATTTTATTAAAAAAACGTATCTTTCTAGTTCAGGGCTTTTCAATTAACTTTTCATTGTCATCTCCACCCAGCCTCTGCGTGAAATTGTAATGCCAAAGACATGCTGAATACCTTCTCATGACTGTGGCCTTGTGAAAGATAACAAATCAATGTGTGTGTGTGTGTGTGTGTGTGTGTGTGTGTGTGTGTGTGTGTGT